AAGGAAGTGAGATTGGCAAATTATTATACTACAAAGTGATCATGGAAGGGAGTTTTAAAACTTCAGTTTTTCTAAATAATGCTCTTTAAGAGGCATTGCTCGTGAGTTCTCTGCACCCGTTACACCATTACAAAATGGAGAAATAATATAACTCTTCATGAGATGGTGTAATACAGTGGGAGAACTGACTTTTTTAGTTTTCGCAAATGTTGCGGATAGAAAGAGTCGCCACCTTTTATCCAATATTTGAGAAAGGTGAAAAGAATAGGAAAGACCTTTGATAGATTTTGAGTTCGAGGGGTAAGTTATGAAAAGGGAAGGTGTTAGCACCCTTTTCATCTGTAGTTATCTACGGGCTCTTAATTGCTTAGCTCACTTTTAAAACTTGCTTTGTGCGTGTGTGATTTGTTTGAAAATATTGTGAAATTCCAATGTAAGGCTAACTTTGTAATAATCCTCGTGTCGGTCCTCAAGAATGTATACAAAGTGTTTTTTTTAAAATATCTTGTTTGAAAGTGTAGTGTGGAAAATGTTTCGTTTGTGAAAAAGGTTATGAGCAAGCATTCAAGAGTTCTTACCCACTAAAGTTTTTCTTGTTATTTTACTTCTCTTTGGAGATAGTATTATCAATACCATTAGTTGGTAGGTAATCCTATCTATTCGATGTGAAGGGACAAGCGTAGGGTCATCGTATGATCATCAAAGGCAACATGTAAGGATATTTTAGCAATTGTATCAAAAGGACTATCATCATTTTGTTTGTAGGGTCATCGAAGGGACTAGATTATTTTTTAGGAAACTCGAAGGGTCATCGAGGGAATATGATCTTTATTCGAAATAGACCATGATGAGATTATTGAATTGAGGGTCTTTTGCTAAAGAATCCCTACTTTCGAGGGACATGACCAATATTCGTAAGGTAACAAGAGAGGTTATCCTAGAGGTGCAAGTGTGAAGAGTGTGTATTTTCAGTTATTTAGTCTTGAAAATCAGGGTTATCTATGTCCAATTATTAGTCTTTCCATGCAAACCCTAATTACTAACAGTTATAAAATATAATGTGCGAAAAGTAAAACCTAAGTTATTACATCCTGTGAGCAATTACATAATTAGAAAAAATGAAAAACAAGATAAATCTACGCTATTACATCGGAGAGTACGACCTATACATTTGATCTATGAATTTAAATAGCAAAAAAATGAGAAAAAGAGTGTTAGAAAAAATGTGAAATGCCCTAAAAATTCTATATGTTATAAAAAGATATTTTTGGTGTTTTTTTAGAAAATAATTTAAGTTAATAATTAATTAAAACATAAATTATAATTTATTTTAATATTAAGAAAAGCTAATTAACTTAATTAATTAATAATAAAATATGTCAAAAAAATTATTTACTAACTAGAAAACCCTAATCCTAATTTGTTATAGTTTTGAAAAAGTTTAAGGTTTGTTAATGGTTAACTAGAAAATAATTAGTAAAATAGAGTGAAAAATAGGGTTAGTAAAAATAAGAAAAAACAAATGTATGGGGTGGGAGTTGAACCCACGCCCTCAACCTTAAAGGATGCGCTGCTTTCTACTAGGCCATGCGTTGCGTTTGTGATTGAGAATAGGAACCAATCAACATATGATGAACCTGCATGTTGTCTTGGAAAAAAACAAAAGAACTTTGACAAGAGGATGGATCGAACCCACGCCCCTTGCAATACCGGTCATCACTCTTACCACTTGGCCAATTATGTTACGCGTTCATATTACCACTATCATTCAATATATAATAAACCTAATTCAGAAAAACAGAAGTCAAACAAAATTGAATTCACGTGTGTTAGTGGGGTTAGGTTTTTTGAATGGACCAATAGGAGAACACCACGCCTAGGTCGCCTGAGTCAAGAGGGTTAAACAACCGTGGAGGGTGGTCAACTTCATCTTCTCCGGTAAGGAGATTTTGAAAACCTGCTATAATCGATCAAAAAATGAAAACAAATAATCCTGATCCACTAATTAGCATACTGCAAGTTTAATGGTGGTGTTAGTTTGGCCTGAAAACATTTGTAGCACAGAATACAAATCTCAAACGAAGCTTTTCCCTAACAATGGAAAATCTTCATCCCTGCATCAAACCTCACAAATAATGGTTCTAAATTGTTCCAAACATCATTATAAACATGTATGAGTGCATCAAATCATTCAACAATGCGTATATAAAAAGTTTGAGATTAGAGAAGGTTACCAAAATAGTGATGTTGAGGGAGAGAGTTCTGGAGTGCTTCGAGCTTGAGTGATGGTTAGGATGAACTCCTGGGAACCTCAGGAGGCTGATGGTATGCTTGAAATCGATTGATAAATGTTGGAGATAAGGGTTTGAGTTTTCCCTAGTTCTTGAAAAATTTGAGATTTTTAGGGTTTGTTCTTGAGGCAGCCTTCGTATCTTGCTTGGTTTGAATATGTTATGCATTTATAGGAGAGAAGATTAGGTCAACAAAAGTGATATGAATCTTTGTATTTCTTGATGAAGAGATTTGATTTGAATTTTGCATGAAAAATTTATCTTTTAGGCCAATCTTGTGCCAATCAGCCTCACACAATTTTACTAGCTGGTCATGAGCTTTTTGGGCTTTAAATCTGATCTAAAAATAAAAGCCTTGTGCCTTAATCCATTAGTTCTATATTTTATTTGATTTATTTTGAATTTAATTGAATAAAAACAAAATAAAAAGAAATAAAAATCACAAAAATATATGAATGGATTTAGGGGTCTAATATGAGTCCATGAACACACTTGAACCTAAAAACTTAAGCCTATTAGCCTAAAAATTCAAGTTTGCTCAATTTGAACTTCATGCATTTTCTCAAAATTGCTCAACTTGCACCAATCATAACTCTCTCAATTTTTATCGTATGAAGATGATCTTGGACTTTCATGTTGGTCATCTTTTCATTTAAAGTGTTTATCTTTATGTAAATTTCTTTGATAAAAAAATGTCTTTTTGTTGACTTTTAAAATGACCGGTAATGTTTTGGCTCATATATCTCAAATGAAGCATTTTTGGCCTTGAGCTTAGAGAGAAAAAGTTATAAAGAATTAAATTTCCTTCAAGATAGGATTTGGTTGAAGAATTTCTGATGAAGTATGTGAAATTTATGCTTGGTCAAAGTTTAATTGACTTCTCCTAAAGAAAACCCTAATTTAGTAACTTTTGACTTTTGATGAATCTTGAGTTTTCTTGATGAATCATGATCAAACCTTGATCAAATGATTAATGTGACTTAAAAATATTGATGTTGACCAAAAATCTTGAAGTTTGACTGTAGATTGATCAAAGTTGATTTTTTGTCCAATACAATTGATTTTCAATCATCTGACTAATTGACTAAGCAAACTTGTGATGTAAGGCTTGAAACATGGTATGAGGGTACCTTGAGATATATGAGAAACCATGAAGTGCATTTGAGGCATTATAAACTCAATTTCCTTTGAGATAAGCAAAATCCTAGTTGCCGGTCAATTACTTAGGAGGAGAGTTTGTCTGGTCAACCCTTGAGTAGTCTTGAGTGTTTGAGACCTTCATGAGCATGAGGAGGTATCTTGAATCAAATTGTATCAAAGATGGGAGGGAAAAATTTGGGGTACAATAGATGGGAAGAGTCATGCTCCATGCGAAGAATTTATCTTATTGCTTCTCTTCTGAAGTAATGAACATATCATGCCATAATCACAATCAAGTAACCATCCGACCTGGCCCAAAGTTACTCACTACGAGATATAGAATGGAAGAAAACCTAATGTAAATTTTTTCCATATGTTTGATAGCAAGTGCTACATCTTGATTGATCAAGAGTAAATGTGAGAGATGGATCCTAAGAATGATATAGGAATATTCTTGGGATATTTTGTCAACAGTAGAGCATATCATGTGTATAACAATCACACAAATACCATCATGGAGTCAATCAATATGGTGATACATGATGCTCCTCAAAATTAGACAAGTGATGAAAAGGAATACTACATGCACATAAATGATCAAAAATATCATCCTATAAAAATTGTGATTGGGAATCTAAGTGAAGGAATTATCACTAGAATCAAAGATGTGATTTCCAACATGTGTTTTATCTCCAATATTGAACCCAAGAATGTTAAAAAAGAGTTAACTTGCGAATATTGAATCAATTCCAAGTAGGAGGAACTTGTTCATTTTGAAATAAACAAAGTGTGGGAGCTGGTTCCTATACCCGATTCAGTTAACAACATAGGAACCAAGTGGATTTACAAAAATAAGTAAGATGAAAATGGAAATGTGACTAGGAACAAAGCACGCTTAGTAGCTCATGGATACACGCAAATAGAAGTTATCAACTCAAAATATTCATTGATCCTAGTGCTCCAAATCATGTTTACAAGCTAAAGAAAGCTCTATATGGGCTAAAATAAGCTCCATTATTGTTGGGTAATATGATGCTGATTTGGAAAGATATATTGAAGATAGAAAGATCACCTCTTGTGGATGTTTCTTTCTAGAGAAAAATCTTATTTCATGGTTCAACAAAAAGAAAAATTGTGTGTTTTTATATAACGTTGAAGTTGAGTACATTGCTATAAAAAGAATATGTACTCAATTATTATGGATGAAACAAATGCTGAAAGAGTATAATATCGAAGCATTATTATGAATCTCTAGAAACTATTATGGTTCAACAAAAAGAAAATTTGCGTGTCTATGCATTATTGAGAATATCTAGCAATTAATATTGAGATAACATGGGAACTGTTGTGCCTGTATTTTCTCTCTCCCATAGCCATCATGACCAAGGCATGTGCGCCCCCTTTTGTCCTAACCATTGGTATTCCAAATTCAGTTCATTTTCACATTACTATACAATTTTACGTTACACGCCTCAAGTGTCATGAATAACTTTTTCATCTTATCTAAATGTCTCTTACCTCACTCTTCTCTAACCATAAGTTCACCTTATCACATTCCTTATAAAAATCATGCAATCATTGGTTGGAACTAGGCAGGGAACCAACACGTATGGGAAAGATAAGAAATCCACGAAGAATTGCAAGAAACCTGCAGAGGAACCCAAACTACTGATCAACATGCACCGAGTCAAAATGAAAGGAGTTGTTCTAAGAGGAAAGGCATGTGGTCTGGCTGAAGGTCTTCCCACCATAAAACCAGCTAAAGAGGTGAAAAGGAAGAAGTTGAGGAAGACATGTGATATATCCTCAAAGGTGCCATTATCTATGTCTGATCCCACTGGAAAAGGAAAGGACAATATGAAGAATTTTTTGAAACCAATGACGTTCCTGAAATTCAATTTGAAATTTCATATCAAACTACCAAGGATGTTATTTAACAGTACATTGATTCAAATGATTGTATCAGCCGATATTCAAGGTAATACTTTTAAATCAAAACCTTTTAAAAAGATTGTTGTTAATGTAGTTAATAATGTGTCAGAGATAAGCATTCGAAAAAGCTTACTAAATTTTATTTCAATTTTTAGTATGTTCTTTCTATCAATTAATTAGTTAAAATTTACACTTATTTTATTTTTCTTCCATTCCTTTATATCGTCAAAGATATTGTTTTCGCGTTTGATTAACAATATTATTTTAGTCGTATCTTCATCATTGTAACTCCTATTTGTGCGAAACCCACGCCAAAATGATCGGGAAAACATAAGAAACATTATCCTCAAGTTTTATTTTTATTTTAGGGTTAGTTTCTTTTACTTAATTTTGAAATTGTAATTCTTTAGTGAATTTTAATATTCTATTTTTAATTTTTACTCATAAATTATCGAAAACAAAACGATTGAGGACGATGAGTTAAAGGAGTGAAAATTTTACATGTGGATTTGAATTAGTATGTTTTATCTTTTAATTTTAATTTTCAAGTTGTTGGTGTTGTAGTGAAATTAGTAGAGTGTTGAATATTTAGTTAAAAAATATTTCCATTTAAATATTATAATATATGTTTTATCTTTTTTATTTTTTTATTTACGTGGTTGTTGCTAAATCTTCTTTGTATAAACTTAGAAGAATGGACAAGTGGATTATATAAAATAATATATGATTGTTTGGAATAATAAACTAGAGATATTATTGAAATTGTATTTTTGGGTGATGTATTTAATGTAATATTAATTTGGATTACGTGTTTGCCTATGTCTAAGTGTTGTTTGCTTAAGAGGTGGGATTGTATATTAAAATTATTCTTCTAGTCATGTTCATGATGATGTGTTTTATTTGTGATATGTGGTTGTAAACTTTAAAGGAAGACAAGTGCAAGAATAAACAAGTTGCTCAACTTGTATGTAAACACTTGAGGATTAAAATGGTGTTCATCTGATTAATCCCTTTTTAATCCAATAAAATAATGAAACTCAAAATATCAAGTTGTAATCATTAAATGAACACAATTGTAAGAACAAACAAATTGTGCAACTTGTGACCAAACACTTAAGCATAAAAAATGATGTTCATTCAATTAATACATTTTTAATCTAATTTTATTTATGAAAAAATGAGATTCAAAATAATCAAATTGTATAACTTGTGTCTTTAAAATATAACGATTAATATATATATGTGCATCTATTTAATTTTTTTTATAAATAATATTACTTTCAATTTTTGATTGGAAAGAAAACAAACTTATTTTATGGGTTTTGGCATCCAACAATTTTTCTTAAGGTACTTGGAATGGATGTAAAACAAAGGTGAATGCGTGAGTGGAAAAACTCTAAGATTAGGACAAAATTACTAGCATAATATGAAATTATGCGCTGATCGTATTTTGGATTGTCCCAAGATGTGAAAACAAACAAAAACAAAGATTCTAATGTTCTGAGAGAATACTAGTCATAATCAGGAATTAACGTCACAATACTTTCTGGACCATATAATTATGGTGGTAATCAGGGATTATGGGATGTAATTTTTGATGCAATGGGTTTTGGTTGGTGTTTTGAGTGTTCTGGGCCTTAATTCTTGATTATGTTTACCCCTTTAAGTGTTAGGTGATCTTAAGTATAAATATCATCAATAATTGGTTGAAAATCTAAGGTTACATGTGGTTGATAACTGATGCGAGAAGGTGAATAAAAATGTTTAAATCTAGTTAAAGGCAACTGAAACTCGGGTGGGCTTCACATGTTAGGGTTACATGAAGACACTAGTTATTATTCTAAAAATATACAACTATGGGAGTGTTTTAAAGTTACTCTACATCTTAACACAAATAAAAATAACACTACAATGTTACGATAGCAGACAAAAATATATGACAATAACAATAACACCAAAGTATAAAATTGAAAGGCAAGTTAAGGAATAAGAAGTTTAACAAAGGAGAGAAAACATCGGAAGCGGAGATTACTTGGAGAAAAAGGTTAAGTTTTAGAAAGAGCCAAAAGAGAAAGAGTTAAACGATTACTTGGGGTTCAAGATACAAGTTCAAAGTCCGTTCATGTGAATTGTTTGGAATGTAATACAAGTCGCCATGTTTGGAGATTGTGATTTAGGGCCTTAGTGAAGAAGATTTGAGGATTCATTTGAATAAAGTCTTTGATTTCAATTCCATTCAAGTTTGCGAATATTCTTCAAGTGAAGTTCACAAAAGTTCATCAATTCTACAAGGACCACTTCTAAGGAAAAGTTCTTATTCAATTCATGAATTTTATACAAACTTCAAGATACAAGTTCATCAAATTAAATTCACAAGGAAATTCAAGAACATTCAAAATCTCAAGTCATGTTGACCATTCTCATTCAAGCTTAAGGTTTCAAGTTTACATTGGTATCCAATATGAACTACAAGAAAGTGTATCCTAAACCTATAAAATTCCTAAGGCAAGATAATTGACCACTCTTAAGCCTTGCTTCATGATGCATCAAAATTGAGCCAAACTTGTCCCAAAAGAATTGATTCAAGGCCTTGTTTCATGATACTTTTGCTGTCCAAAAAGTGCAACAAAAACTATCCAAAAATGATGTTCAAAGACGTTGTCCACTACTACATAAAACTTGCATAAAAATCCAAAAAAATAGACCCCAATCTTGTTGTCTAACATGCTTCAAAACCTTCTACAAAACCAGTCCATGAATCAGCCAAAAGTTACATTAAAATGGAAAAAGCGGAAACTTACAACAAGAAAGCAATGAAACTGAGGAACAAATCTTATCAAACTCACAATTTTCCCCCATTTTCTCACCTTATTCACCTATTTAACAACCTCTGATCTCTTCTACAATCCATCAACAATTTTAACACCAAAAGAATACCTCTAATTTTTGTTCAAACATACCAGAAATCTCACAAAATACTACCATCTAGTTGTTCAAACACTAAGAATTCCACAGAAACAACACAAGTTCTTGTTTATCTTTCATTGTAACTCTACAAAAAATCTACTTACACTAAACAAAACCATTATCATACAAACTTCACTCAATTTAATGCTTACACGTCGGAGCTTCGATTCAAAGAAGAAGCATAAAGAGTAACAGTGAGTAAAGTATGGAAGAAAATCAAAGCATTATACCTCGAAAAATTTCGGAAAGACCCTCTTCTTCGCAGGTAATTTTTCCTATAAATCTCTAAACTTATGTGTTGTGTTTTTCTATAAAATCCACTGCAACCATTGTCGTTCGTGTAACACCCCGATTTAATTAGAATTTTTTAAAATTAAATAATTAGATGATATGATGTGTTTATATGTGTTGATGAATTTTAAGATGTGTTTTGATGGGATTATTGGAAGATTAGAAGTAGTGAGAGTTATAGAAGTTAAGGTGTAGGGGTGTGTGGCTAAAAGTGTAGAGACATGGGGATGAATGGAGAATATTAGTATCATTGTTATTATTATTATTATTATTATTATTATTATTATTATTATTATTATTATTATTATTATTATTATTATTATTATTATTATTATTATTATTATTATTATTATTATTATTACTATTTCTATTATATGAAATAAATATTAATTATAATATTAATAATTAAATAATTAGATTAATCTAGTAATAAGAAGAGGGGTATGATGGGAATATCTATATTAGGGGTCTAAAAGAGAGAAAGAAATTATTCTCAATCGATCTTAGAAACCAGAGAAAAGAGAAGAACGAAGAGAAGAGAAGAGCATACAAGCTAGGGCAAGGACTTTTCGGTATAAAGTTTAGGATCATCAAACCCAAGGTAAGAGTGGGGTTCCGACTCTTGAATGGTTACATAACTGAAGAAGTTTATGTGCACCAACCTCCTGGTTTTGAAGACAATAAAAATCTTGATTTTGTTTTCAAACTTAAAAAATCCATGTATAGTCTGAAACAAGCTCCAAGGACTTGGTATGAAAGATTAAGCAACTTTCTTTTAGAAACCGATTTCAAAAGAGGGAAGGTTGACACTACCCTGTTCTGTAAAACTTTCAAAGATGATATCCTGGTAGTTCAAATATATGTTGATGATATTATATTTGGTTCTTCAATTGCCATTTTGTGCAAGAATTTTTCCAAGTCTTTGCAGGATGAGTTTGAAATGGGCTTAATGGCAGAAATCAAGTTCTTTCTAGGAATTCAAATCAATCAAGGAACAGATCAAACCTTCATTCATTAGAGTAAATACATCAAATAACTTTTGAAGAAGTTCAATTTAACTGAATGTAAGATAGCAAAGACTCATATGAATCCTACGTATGTCCTAAATAAGGATGAGGTAAGTGGTAAGGTTGATCAGAAGCTATGCAGAGGTATGATAGGTTCTTTATTATATTTGACTTCCTCTAGTCCCGATATTTTATTTAGTGTATGCTAATGTGCTAGATTTCAATCAGATCCCAAAGAATCTCACTTAACTGCTATCATCAGATTTCTGGGAGAAAACCTTATATCATGGTCCAGTAAGAGGCAATCAACAATTTCTCTCTCAAACACAGAAGCTAAATATATCTCTGCAGCAAGTTGAAGTACTCAAATTCTCTGGATGAAAAGTCGGCTAGAGGACTATCAATTAAATGAAAGTAATATTCCTATTTTCTATAATAATACGTCTTCCATTTGTTTATCTAAGAATCCTATCTTACATTCTAGGGCTAAACACATTAAAATTAAACATCATTTCATCAAAGACTATGTCCAGAAGGGTGTTCTTTCTTTAAAATTTGTTGTCACTGACCATCAGTGGGATGACATCTTTACCAAACTCCTTACTGAAGATAGACTTATTTTCATCCTAAAAAATTTAAACATGGTTCCATGTCCAGAATGAAAAAGTTGTTATTTTAATATGTTGAAGCACTAAATATAATATGTGCTTCTGAGGTTTAAGGTGTAGGTTTCTGAAACATGTAACTTTAATCAAGTGAAGTCTTCATGTGTCAGACGTACTCATGAATCATCAATTTTTTGAATGGATTATCTCTATGAATATTGAAAAACCTACTTTATGAAATAAGTTACTAAAAGGTAAAAAGATTCCTGTTCTGGTAAAAGACTATTGTCGTTTCTGAATCACCTTGTAA